TATATATATATATAAAAATATCACTGTGCTATACTGTTATTTGTACCAGAGACAGATCTAATGTTACAGTTTCTGTACTAAATGTACTAGCCTATTAGATCTCATAGAAGTTGTCTATATCTCTTTATTAGCAGTGTTTTATATTTTATAGGTGACTTTGCAGCAATGAATGAAGAATGTTCAGATATCCTGAACGGATGCAACAAAGTTAAACTTGCAGCACAGAATGAAGCAGCATTATTAGCATTAATGGAAAGGACTGGATACAATATGGTACAAGAAAATGGACAGCGTAAATTTGGGGGCCCTCCTCCAGGTACCATTGAATTTTAAAGTCTCACAACAAGGGGTTACATTTAAAGCATAAAAGTGGGGCTGCAACTAACGATTATTATCATAATCGATTAGTTGGTCGATTATTTTGCTAAAAAAATGAAATCATCTTTTATTTCAAATACACAAATAGAGTGTTACAAACATAAAGTACATCTGAATAAAACTGCATACACAATTTGTTTGCAATAGCAGGCTGGCTATCGCACCTAATGTAGAGTCACTGTGGTGTTGGCTGACAGCCGGTCTCTCCTCCCAGCTGGACGCTGGCTCCAGCGGTCTGTGTCCCCTCCGATCCCCGCTGCCTCAGCCAACACAGGCGGGGAAGAGCAGCAGGGATCGAAGGGGACACAGATTGCAGCATGTAGCGGGCTCCCAGCAGGGAGAAGAGAGTAGCTGAGCAGTGGAGAGGGGGTTGGTTTGGAGAGCTCTCCTCCCCACTGGGCACCAGCTGCAGGGGTCTGGGTCCCCTCCGATCCCCGCTAAGAGCAGCGGAGATTGGAGGGGACACAGAGCCAATGAAGCACCGGCTACTAGCGTGGGGGAGAGAACTAGCGGATCCACACCAACTAATCGATAATGAGAATAGTTGACAAAAATTCTCATTATCGATTAAACAATAAGTTGGTTGCAGCCCTACATAAGAGACTGTCTATAGAGATTTGTCTGTCGACTTGAAATTCCTTTGAGAAAACGTTCCGCATAAATTTCAGCTTTTGCATTTCCTGTTTCATCCACTTACTTCGGCTGGTATATTGCGGCTATTTGAAATCTGATTTCTCTTCCATTAATTGAAGGACACAGCAGAGATTTTGATCCCCAACCATTGGGTAATAGTGCCTTCAAGAGTAGGACACTAGGCACAAAAACAAAAGTACATCCTGGGTGTGGCCCCTGATGGTGGTCAAACCCGCCCCCAGTTGCTAGAGGCAGCTCAGTGTTTTGCCTAGTGTCAAGGAGTGAAGACCTAAGCTTTTAGATCTCTATTTTTTTGCAGGGAATTTTGCTTTTAGTTTTTATTTTCTTCAGTCTTATAGACCTTCAGTCAACAGCTGGACTGGGTGACAGGCTGGATGACATGGATCGTTGTTGTCCCCCCTGCTCAGCCATTGAATGCATGCAGACCCCTAGCTCCATAAATGTTCTTGTTGTACTCTTCATTGGCAGATAGAGAAAAAAAGAGTTTGCGTACAAATTGTTAAATCCTTTTCTCATCCTTTCATTTAAGGACACAGAAGGACGACAGTGGACGCTAGGCAGAAAAAACTAAAGCACAGTCTAGGGGCGGCCCCTGCTGATTGCCAAACCCCCATCTGCTAGAGGCAGCTCAGGTTTTCGCCTAGTATGAAGGAGTAAGGATCTAGGCTCCCTGGGAATCTTAGTTCACTTTCTTTTTGCAGAGTATTTTTATTTTAATCTTTAAGATCTTCATTCAACAGCTGAGCTGGGTGAGAGGCTAGACAATATAGACCCCTGTAGGCCCCCCAGCTCAGCCATTGAGTGCATGCAATTTCTTAGCCACATGCAGAGTTGACTGCAACAACATTATCCTGGATCTTCGGGCAGCCGCTTAATGTTCCTGAGGGGGGGCACATATGACCAAGTGACTTGCTGCTCTGTCACAGCTTCCCATCAGGCGGATAGCACCCCCATTCCAGCGAAGAAGCATTCTGTCATGGGGAAGGTACCCCGTTTTCTTCCCTGTCGGGTTATGGTGAATATAAGAATGTCCTTCTTTTATCCCTTCTCCATCCTGTGTGGCCCTGAGCGGTCTGTGGGTTCCCTCAGTCCACCCCCACTGCTGTGTGAAGGTGGTGCTATAACCCAATTGTCATGATCTAGATATCTTCACTGTGTCATTATAAATCACAATATTGATATTAGCGCAGTGCTGTTTTTAATTAAGATTTGTAGTGTCTAGTCACTAATTTGTAGTGTCTAGCACAGCTGCTTACAATTAGATAGGATTCCGAGGGCAGTGCATCACTGTTGTTACCTAACTGTGTACTGGGCAGGTTGTTCCCCAATCAGGGATTCTCGGGTGGTAGCAGTGAGTGCTCCCATGGCTCGATGGTTTAGTGTAGCCTGCGCTTAGACCTTCTTGTTCTACAACTGCTCTCTTGGCTACTTCACAGGTTCACAAGGTGGGTACTTCAGGAATCGTTATTGCTAGTCCAGATGAATGGGGTCTTCTGACCTGAGCAGACTCCTGACAGAAGCTCTGTGGATTCTCCAGGGGTGTGGAATAAAAAAAAAAACTACTTGTCCAAGGACTAAAGCGGGGGCAGAATCTACTTGTCCCTCATGACAATCTACATGTCCTGATACAAAAAAAATAATTTTAACTAAAACCTTATTTAGTAGTGCTAAGAAGCACTTCTCATTGGTCAGTGCCGTCAGGTGACTGCGTTGACCAACGAGTGCTTGCAATTTGCGAGCGAAATTCAGAATACATGGAACAGGTACAGATAGTACACCCGTACTGGTTGCCGAAAGGTAAGTATAGTGGGAGGGAGATTTGTGCGGGTAATTCCATTTTCCCAAATTACTTGGGAAAGTGAATATACCCTTTAGGGTTGGTGCAGACAGGATGTGCGATCGTGTGCGGTTGCATACAGTGGTTGCATCCGCATGTATGGGGTTACATCTGCGTGGCAATCGCTTAAAAAAAGGTAGATGTACCTATTTTCACGACATGCACCGCGCAGTGTTTTCAACCGGGATCGGCAGTTGTGTGTGTGATTCCATGACCACCCAGCCATCCGCTCGGTTTCGTGCACGATGACCGGGCAGTCACGGATCGCACACCCCTGCTGATCGCGCTAGCAGTCCCATTATTTTCTAATGGCACCCCAGTCATGCCAGGCAGATTTTTCCTGCTGCAATATCGCCCTGCCAGAGCGGTTGCACACGATTGCAGTTGAAAACACTGTGCGTTTATTCGCATGCAGATGGGGGCAGCGGGGCTGGTTTTCATTTTTTAAATTTTTATTTACTTTGTAAAAAATGTTCATTAGAGGAACGAGCAGCGGCCGCCGGGGACACAGGCTGAGGGAGGTGACAGAGCCTGTCACAGCTCAACCGCCCGGCTTTGTCACGGCTCCACGCCCTCCGCTCTGTCCCCGCTCTCGGCGCTCCACGTCCCCCGCTCGCAGCGCCGCTCTCGGCGCTCATTTAAGAAAACAGAAAACAGCCCTGCCACTTGTCCGTAGCAAGGCTAAAATAGTGAAAAAAACACTTGCCCGGCGCCGGAACTACATGTCCCGTGCGTCGGGCGATATGAATTCCACACCCCTGTTCTCTCTGATAATCCTGCTCTTCTCATGAAAAATGTTCTTCTTTTTCAGCATTGCCTGGTTTCTATGGAACAGAGGTTTATCTGATGTCTTGATCCCCTTTGTTGCTCGATGGTAGCAGGTCTCTCCCTGCAGGTTTGCATTTGCTTGTGGAGGGTTCACTTCATTTGCCAGAAACTAAGGGCGTTGACACTAGGTTATTTTCTGCGGGGCATTCCTTGCTTCTCCTTCAGTGCTTTTTTCTTTAGGATTTCTCAGGCATGTTTTTTCACTTTGATGTTTTTGTCCCAGATGCTGTTTGGCTTCTCGCTTCTTTTTTTAGCATGACTAAGGGTATCTATGCTTTGCTCGTGGGGTTCCCTTCTTCTCTCCGTGAGATCTGTACTTGGCTAGTACACCATCTTTTGTACCGTCCAGGGACATGTCTCTCTCAATCTCTGGGTTATGTTGTTGTTATCATTCATGGGGGGGTCTCAGTGTCTTAATACTCGAGAGGGGGATCCAAAAGTGATGGTTTGTTTTCTGGTTGATTCTTGGACTGACTTCTTTTTTTCCTCTGGCTGCTTCTCCTGCCTGCCTTGTTTTTCTGGCTGCATGGGCTTCCGTATCTTCTCCCAGTTTCCCCGGAGATGCTTGGGTGGTTTCAGGGCCTTATATTGCATGGGTCCCTACAAGTTGATTGGTTCTTCTAGGCTGTTGTGGTCTGATTGTTGTGTGGGGGAGTTATTTGGTTTGCTTCCAGCCCTCATACCACTTTGGGACATCCCAGTGGTCAAGATTTTCACTGTGTCCCTAAATGAATGGAGAAGAAAATAAGATTTTTTGTACTCGCCATAAAATGATTTTCTCTGCGTTCATTTAAGGACACAGCACCCACCCCTCTAGTTGATATGCTGTGACTTTTTGCTGTTCTTGTACTGCTTTTTTAACTAACTGAGCTACCGCTAGCAGATGGGGGTTCGGCCACCAGCAGAGGTCGCCCCGGGCAGTGCTTTTATTTTTTTCTGCCTAGTGTTCTACTCCTGAAGGTGGCGCTATAACCCAATTGTCATGATCTAGATATCTTCACTGTGTCATTAAATGAACACAAGAGAAGAGAAAATGATTTTATTGTGAGTACAAAAAAAATCCTATTTCCTCTGAGGTTCATAGGAGAACACTGTTCCCTCCCTTCTATAGGTGCTCTTTTTAAGCTGGCATGTTGCTGTGATTGAATTGTTTTATTGTAGGAAAGCTGTTTAGCTTCCTCTAATGTTCCCACAGCTTGTAACAACTGAGCTATTGAGCTGGTGGAGGGTTGTAGCCACCAAAAGGGGACGGCCACATTTATTATGCATAGTGTCCAAACCTTCTTTTACTGATTGTTTTGTCACATTAAACTGTGCTAATGGATGCCTGTTTGGTAGACAAACGTAAGATTTTAAGTATAGATCTATTGTCTCCCATGTGTACCCACGTGCAGATCCTTAGCATCCACTTAGGTGATATGACACTCGTCACTTGTTGCTTTGTGCTATGTTGTTTTGAGATTTTTATTGTGATTTATTGAAACTAAACTCTTCTTGTACTTTATAAACAAATGAATGTATATATGTTTTTATTCAAAATGTTTTTAGGGTGGGAAGGTCCAGCTCCTCCACGTGGCTGTGAAGTGTTTGTCGGAAAAATTCCTCGTGATATGTATGAAGATGAATTGGTCCCTGTTTTTGAAAGGGCTGGAAAAATCTATGAATTTCGGTTAATGATGGAATTTAGTGGGGAGAACAGAGGTTATGCTTTTGTCATGTTCACAAACAAAGAAGATGCCTTGCAATCTATTCGAATGCTAAACAATTTTGAGATTCGCCCTGGTAAATTTATTGGAGTTTGTGTTAGCTTAGACAACTGCAGACTTTTTATTGGAGCCATCCCAAAAGAGAAGAAAAAAGAAGAAATACTGGAAGAAATGAGAAAAGTTACAGATGGAGTAGTAGATGTTATTGTGTACCCAAGTGCAAGTGACAAAACCAAAAACCGTGGGTTTGCCTTTGTGGAATTTGAATCTCATAGAGCAGCAGCAATGGCGAGACGCAAATTAATTCCAGGTGATTATTTTCTGTAGATTTGATGTAATGACCGACAGCATTGACTATAAATTAATTCTTATTCATGTATTTAGAAATGTTTAACTAAACATAATTTCTCTTGTGGCTAATTGTATTTGAAAATGCACATTATAATATAGGTTTTTGTTTTGTTTGGGTGGGGGGAAGGGTGGAATTAGTAGGCTAATGCATTGCTCTTCATAGCTCACTTATACCAATTTACATGGGAAATTACACTTCATTAAGTTGCTGTAACCCTCCTCCCTATACACACACACACACGGCACACGGCAGTGATCATTAGGTAATTACACCACCGCTCTTTTCTGGCAATTGCATGAAGGTAAGATGGCTAATTACATGGAGATCACTACTTTGCATGTATGAATTGGGAAATTGGAAAAACAACCAACTCCTATGTAACCCATTTACTGAAGCAACTCAGCCGTGTGCAAAGCATGAAGTGTTTTCAGGCTGAAATGAAAAGAGCAAAAGCTGTAAAAGCAGCTTGAATGCACATAATTTTAAAAGGAAATAGATTGTATATATGGAAAGCCAGGACTTAGGGCTTGTTCACAACAGTTTCAGTGCATTCCAGCGCGGTTTGCTGCTGGAACACACCGTATTGCACCGTATCGCATACTAAACCCCCCCTGCGTTCTGGGGTGGGAGGGGGCGTGGCGGTGCATTCAAGTCAATGGCACCGCAGCCACTCCCTCCGCCTACAGTGCTTGCAGCATTGTTGTGCCTCGCGTTCTGGTGCGGGCGATTGCACTGCGGGCAGGACGCAGGTAGCTGGTCAGGATGCGATACATTGCGTTCATGCAGCAAACCGTGCTGGAACGAACTGTAATTGGCGTGAATAAGCCCTTCAAGTGTAATGCTCCTTGGATTACATTTTGTGACACATTTGATAAAAGCAGAGTAGTAAATCATTTTGTAAATAGTATGCAATATTTTTTGTTGTTGTAGCATTCTGTAAAAATTTTAACATTTGATCTGGTAGCCCAACTGTCTGTCCACAGCAGATAGTGGAATGTTTGAAAAGACACTGGGCATCATTCTGAAAAGTTTCTAAAGTAAGAGCTGCTTGTGTTGTCTCCTAGCAATCAATCAAATTCATATCTGCACTGAATGATAGTTGAATCAGATTGCTGACTTTGGGATAAGCCTGTGCTAACGATTGCTAAGAACCCATTTACACTTTTCTGGTTTTCAACTGCAAAAATCTCAGTTCTAAATGTTTTTCACTTAGTTTGCATTATACATGAACAAATATTAAATGCAAAAAAATGACAGAAATGAACATGTATATACACTAACAGCATGAGTAAATGCATGTAATAATGCATTTCAAAACAACATATTGCTGCATTTGCAGCATATTACATTAACGGTACCCTTACATTTCTTCCTGAGCATCATGGAAGCACCAAATCCACGAAATATTTCAAGTCTTGACTTTAGCTCTAGAACTGAGCTCTGACATACCCCTTCTTTCTCTTTTTTTCTTCCCCACCATACAGGACTGGACCCTATGTGGTTGGGTGCTGAAGAAACTCATGCATGGCAACGTTGGTCAGTATGCAATATATGTTGCCAGCACACATTATTTGAAATTTTATTTTACCAATCACAGCAAACTGATTCTTCATCATCAATCTCTAAATGTGATGCAAGGCATTACTAATTAGTAGTGAATTACAGGAGGGGGTTGTCCAAAATTCAACTTTGAAGTTTGAGTCAACATTTGCATAATTTGGTCACCCTGGGTTTTAAAATTCGTAAGCACTCAGGGAGAGAGGGCATTCATACCAAGAAGAGAGGCAAACATTTACAATCACAAGTGAAATACATTATTGGGATTTGTCTTATCTGCTAAAAAATGTAACTGTTCAGCTAGTTTTCTATTCAGATGGTTAGGTTCTGACCTCACTTTTCTGTACTGCAGTTAGGCAACAAAGGGTTATTCAAATACCACATCAGCTTGTGTTGGATAGTGAATATGTATCAAGGTCAGACCTTGTGATCTCCCATCCAGCTCTCTGATCACTGCTTAATGTAGTAGACTAAAGGTGCCCATACACCTTACAATTATCTGCAGATTTTCTGTGGTCAGATGGAAAAAGTGCAACAGATTGGCCCAGGTGGAGATTACCCATCTGACCACAGTAAGTGTAGATGGAGGAATCTGTTGCACCTTTTCCATCTGACCACAGAAAGTCTGGAGATAATTGTAAGGTGTATGGGCAGCTTTATAGATCTGCATATTCCTCTCCCTTCCAGGGAGGGACAGCTGACCACAAGGGGCTAATACCAAAACAGATTGAGAGCTATTAATGAAAAATACTGCTGTAAGTCCTGCTAGCAGTTCAGTAACATTTACTGTATGTAGGTAAAGATTTACTTTCAGACAATTTTCCAGCATAAGGCCCAATCTATTTAGTTTTGTATAACTGCAGATTGCTGTAGAATGATGCCCAGAGTGTCTGTTTAAACATGAATCTGTAGTAAACTGTTGGCAGATTACAGATAGTCAATTGCAAGTCGTTCAACTTGCTTGGTGCAAATAAATGTAACTACAGTAAACTCCCCGTTATCCGGCATCAACGGGGATTGGTAGATTCCAGATAAATGTAGTTCTGGTTGCTTGAGAGTTACTATTAAAAATAGGTCTAACTAATGCCATACCACATACTATACCATACCATAACATAAACTCTCTATTGACTCCATGTTAATATTCAAATGCAGTAATCAAAAGCAAATTAAGACAAATAGACGCAATTAAGACAAATTGGCACATAATCGTTTCCAGCATAATACATGCCGCAGACATGCGAGTAAACAGGATTTTTTTTCTGTTTAGATGAGAGTTCTGGTTAGTTGAATTCCGGATAACAGAGTTTACTGTACTACTCTTAGCAAAAACATAATTTCTTTTGTTCTCTATTGTTCAGTGAGAGACACAGCCATTGATCAATAGATCAACCAGAACCAGGTGGTTATAGTATCATCAGGAATAGGACACTAGGTGCATAAAAAAAACAAAACCAAGGGGTGGGTTCCATCTGGTGGCTTAATCCCATAATTGCAATGGAGAGCCAGTTTTTGCTCGGCATCCAAGAAGCAAAGACTTATCTTACCCAACTCCTGATGCTCAACTGTCTGGACTCTGGCTGTTGAGTGGCTGCCCCTGGGAATGGCTGCAGGTCCTCCACCCCTTCACCTGGGCTGCTATTGTAGCCAGTGGCTATTCGCAGTAGGCTCTATTGCACCCTCCACATGGTCACAGGTTGTGTCAGACTGCACTAGATATGGTGCCGTGATTTTGGCGTGCCATGATCCTCAGTGGCTGGTGGCTACTTCTCCCTCTAGAATCCCAGTTTTTCTGTCCCTCTCTGTGATCATGGGCCACACTGATGCAGCAACATGGTGGCCATCTCTGTTTTAGACAACTTACCTTCCCTTAAGGGCTGCTTCTGTGTCACCAGTTGCTGTGGACATGCCCAACACAAAAATGAGGCTTGGTCTTACACAGCAGTTGACCTGACCAAGCAGAGTCCTGTTACTATGTCCTGGTTGCCATGTCAAATTTGACCACTCTAGTGCCTGTCTCTCAGCTATGGACTTGCCTACCTTGGGACCCTCGCCAGTCATTTTAGTTTACCATGGAGGGATTTGTATTAGTGTGTTGTTCAGGCCTTAGCTCACTTGAATGCAGATCAATTAAAAGGAAACCACTGCCTTTACCCATCCTAGGTTTTGGATATCCCTTTAACTGACCCTACATAGATTGGGATGAATGATTTGCTAAAATCCCTGAATGTTGCCTGCTTCCCTATCATGGGAAAAGGAGAGGGTTTCCACCTTGATTTGTGTGGTCTGCATTGAAAGGCTCACCCGCTGCGGTGCTAGTCTCCCATTTCCTTCAGCTCACACAAGCAGAAACAGGGAGCCAAGGTATTTCACTATCATTCCTTTCTTTGATGACTTAATTTATAAGTAACAGAAGTGACTGAGCATGACCTTTACCTTAACAAACGATTTTCGGTCCATTATCTGTTTGTGGAAGACCTAAAAAAGTGGCCTACCCCACCAATGGCGTAATTAGATGATACCATAAAGAACATCACTGTAAGCAAGGTTACCTATATACTATATTCCTGTCCTATAAAGGTTAGAATGTCAAACAGAAGTCTAGGCACTCTTCTCCTTGGACAAAAGGTTCATGTCCACAAAATCCCCGTTTTCTGCTGGAGCTAAAAAAATACCCGTACAAAACTTAACCTTTAAATCTGCTACAAAATCCACTTCAGCATGAAGGTCTACCCCCACCTATGACTTTGAAAGTGGGAGGATGATTTCTTTTTTTTGCCAGCCACTGGACCAGTTGTAACTCAAGAAGCCTGCATCCACAAAGTTGTGGCAGCAGAATGTAAAATAGATATAATGAGGCTGGCGGATCTGCATTTGTTCATCAAGGGATTATTAGCACAGGGGGTGATCATTCTAGTTCCATCCTCAGTTTAGAGGTTGTCTTTGGAACCTCTTTGACGATATCACGTATTGCGAGTCGATTGGGGCTCAACAGCAATTTTTTCTTACATAAGGGGTGAATCAGCGTCTCGTGTTGAGCATCAATAAAGGTCAGATATTAGCCTAGGCTATTTTGTCCCAGTGTACATTGGCCCACAACTGCCTTGCTTGCAATTTTATACTGGGAGCTACTCCTGTAATCCGGGATATCAATCTGATACTTTCTTCTCTCTAGCGATCTCCCTTTGAACCAGTGTCCAATCCTCCTGTAGGCTTCAACAGAACTTGACTGTATCTAAATTCTTGTGTCCCTCAATGGACTCCCACAAAAAGGATTTTAGGGTAAGTACAAAAATCCTATTTGTTGTACTCACTATAAAATCCTTTTCTTGGGGTTCATTGAGGGGCACAGGTCCCACCCCCTCTGTGTTTATGTTCATGCTCTTGGAACAGCTTTAGTCCCAGACTGAGGCAGGCAGTAGAGGAAGGAATAAATGGGGTCTTGCTTATAATTTCCTGTCTGCCAGTGTGCAGTGATGCTGTAGGGAGCAGTACAACCCAATTGTATCCCTTGAGGGACACAGATCCCACCCCTCTGTTTATGCTCATGATTTTGGTACTGCTTTGCTATAAAACATACGTTGGCAGTAGTAGGGGTTATCCTGGGATGGCCTACAGTTTTTTTTGTTTTGCCAGTGTCCAATTCATCTGTAGGTGGCTGTATACCCCCAAGGTTTAAGACTGCTTGTGCACTGGTGCCTCCACAGTAGCTGCTGGCGGCACCCATGCAGGGGGTGGGGGATAAGAGGATGCGGGACACACTAGAAAACGAGGAATTGAGAAATAAATTTAAATAAAACCCAAAGATCTGCAATACTGCAAAGACTGCTTCCCAGTTATAAAAAAAAAACCCTAAAGCTTTAATATCACTTTAAGTGATAAATGTATGTATATTTGAAATTGTTCTAATGTCAGTGTCAATGCAATATCATTGTAGGAACTTTTCAATTATGGGGTCACACTATTCAAGTAGACTGGGCGGACCCAGAGAAAGAGATTGATGAAGAAACAATGCAGAGAGTTAAAGTCCTATATATAAGGAATTTGATGATATCGACTTCAGAAGAGACAATCAAAGCAGAGTTCAATAAATTTAAGCCTGGATCTGTTGAACGTGTGAAAAAGTTGAGAGACTACGCATTTGTACATTTTTTTAATCGCGATGATGCCATTACAGCAATGTCAGTAATGAATGGGAAATATATTGATGGAGCAAGCATTGAGATTACTTTGGCTAAACCTGCGATGAAGGATTCTAATTGGAAACAGGGAAATGGCCATTTGAGTCCGAATTCAGAAAGTTTGCTTTTGTTTGCAAATCAGGAAGAAGTATCACAGAAAGCTATTGGAAGATCTTCAAGCCTACCTGCCCCCCAGAGAGGCAGAGAAAGTCCCATTTTCTCTGAGCCTGAAAGAGGCACATATCCTTTTTATCCTGGCACAAAGCTTAGTCCAGTAAATGTTCAGTCTTTAAAACCTTATCACTTCCACTCTGCTGTGATGCATCTGGAGTACTACTGTTACAAAAATAACATGGCATTCCCTGAATACTATTTGTTTTCAGCTAATGGGCAGGATGGAAAACTGCTTTTGATTTATAAGGTTGTACTTCCAAGTGTTGCTAACAGTTCTCAGAGCTACTTCATACCTGACAGGTTATGCACCTCATTGGAAGATGCAAAGGAGCTGGCAGCACAAGTTACATTGTTGCATTTAGGTAAGTGAAAGATATGTCAATGGATACCCACTTGGGCAAGAGAATGTAGGTTGTATTACCAGTGGTGCTCCGTTTCTTGAATTCCAGCCTTTCTGACTATTCTATAGAAAGAATATATTTGTAGTGGAAATTACCTGGGGAGGTGGAATGGAAGGAAAAAAAACGTCTGCAATGATGCAGCATGTAAAGAAAAGGATGTAAGGAAGGTTACTTGTAGTCCAACTAATCTACATGCGCTTTCTTCTCTGGGGATTGTGTGAAACAGTTTGCATTAGCAGTACCAGTTTCTGAAAGCGTCATCTGACGGAATGTTGTCAGACGCACATTTCAGAAAGCCAAAGCTGCAGAATACAGCAGTACGTTGCTATATAAATTGCAGTTTCTTATTGTTTATTAGCAGGGCTTGAAAAATCCGCTCGTCTGTGACGAGAGGACGACGGAGCCCGAGGAGCAGCTTCCCGGCCGGCCATTGTAATTACACGGCCGGGAGCTTAACATTCAAGACACCCGATCGCTTGTATTACCAGCAGCTGTCACTGCCGGTCCTGAGGTCCGCTGTGCCCGATGTGGCTGGGACCGGCACGGCTATGTGACAGGAGATCAAAGGGAGATCAGTACACGAACTCCCTTTGATCTACACTCCAGTCCCGGAATGCAGGAAGTGATGTACATTACATCACTTCCTGCATTCAGTGTCACTTTTCAGCTACAGAAGCTCTGGGGGTCCCTAGGTGACATTAGGGGTCTTGGAGACCCCTGATGTCTTCATAAAGAGGACCTGTCATGTAAATTGGCTATCACATAGGGGGCTTCTTAGCCCCCCCCCATGTGATAGCAATAAAATTGTGTAAAAAAAAAAGTAATACAAAAATTAAAGAATCATAAAAAAATAAATTAAGAAGCATTGAAAAAGAAGAAAAAAAAATGTTTTTAAGTCCTCTGCCCCCCACATACACATGCAGATATGCGTCGGGTGCGCCTACGTGCGAAAACAACGATTGCACCTATTGTGCCACACATGTTACATATAACCGCAAACGTCGGAGTGTGAGCAATAATTTTAGGGCCATTAATTACCGATAACACTAAACTGATGAGCGGTAAAAGCGTTTTAAGCGTCGCCTATGGGCAATTTTCAGTGTGGTCGTTTGTTGCGATTTTGCGGGCGCACACAATTTTAAGGCTTGACATGTTTGGTGTCTATTTACCCGACGTGATCCCGCCTTTTATATTTTACCAAAAATATGGGTAATAATAGATGCTTTATAACATAACGTAGGGGGGAAAAATGTATTCAAAATTTACGGTACTTTTTTCATTGTATAGTAAAAAATAACCCCCCCCAATGGTGATAATATACCTCTAAAAGAAAGCTCTATCTGTCCCCCAAAAAATGTTAACATAATTGCAAGGCTATAGTCTGGTCATGCTGACTGGTGACATTTTTGACTGTCTGGTGACATACCATAACATTTTCCAAGCCATGTTTATTAGCTATACTCATATCAATGAACAAAGTTCTGCATTAATCCGATGAATTGGCAATCATTTATTTAATACCATGAACTGCTATATGTAAATAGGCAAGGAGGTCTCAACTGTGTCTCCTACCAAATAGCCTCACCCTACTGGGTGTCATTAGTATTCTGAAAAATCAAATACCACTCATGGATATAATCATTTGAGAGAAATGTGTGGGGATGGTCCACTGCTTGGCAAACATAAATAGAAACAAAATGTTCAGACCTCCAGTACCAGTGGTACTCAAACTCACAAAAGTCTCACCGCACTGTATATGAAAAATGGTCACAATTTTATTGTACATCATAATTAAACCAACATATGACAAACATGACATAAACCCCCCTTCCTAAAAACATTAACAAATATCCCCAGCATGTCTTTGGAGCCACTATGTACCATCCAGTAATTACTGATATTTCCAGGATACTACAGTATACTGTATATACTGGTGCTGCAAATGCTATCTCGATTAATATAATTTGTTTGCAAACAAGGAAAGACTTGAAATCCTATTGGAAATGTTGAAACAACTGATGTGTATGCCAATTTGGATTGTAGAGCATATTGTAGGACTGAAAGGGTTGTAAATTCAGGAAACGGTCAATTAACTTTTGTGTGCACGTGACTCAGAAATAGCTCCATATAGATGACTCTGTCTAACATATATCTATTCCCTTCAGTGCTATGGTTTCCAGTAGGGATGCACCGATATATCGGCCGAAAATGGCACTTTTGGCATAATGCCGAAAGAGCCATGTTTCGGCCGATACATCGGCGCATCCCTGGTTTCTTTTCTCCCCGCTGGGCGCTGTTCCCGCGGGGAAAAAAGAAAGTGACAGCCGGCCGGCGTCTCCTCCCACACCGCTCTGCCGCCTATCACAGTGCGGCAGAGCGGTGTGGGGGTGGAGACAGCGCCGTCACAGGAGGCTGGGCTTTCCTCTCTACACCGCTCGATCAGCCTCCTGTGACAGCATGAGTTGCAAACAACGCATGCAGACCAACATGCATATTTGGATCATATATAGACTTCCAGTGAGTCCTTAGCCCTGGTTCACACCTAGGCGTATTGCATATGCGTGTCTGTCGCGCGGTAAATCGCGGTAAAAAAATCGCGCAACAAACGCCGAGGGCTACTTGGCTGTATCCCAATGGAAACGCGCGTTAGGGACGGGCTGAAATACGTCAAGGTGTGAACCAGACCCATTGAATACAATGGGACATAGATGTTTGAGCGTTTTATAGAGCGTTCGTCGAGCGTAGAACGCGCTACAAAACGGTCAGGTGTGAACGAGGGCTTAGTGTTGTTATCAGTGGGGCACAGTCCCTTCTATACATTCACACATGCAGGGCTTGACAAATGTTAGGCTGTCTCACCAGTCAGTCAAAAATGTCTTAAAAACGCCAACTCACACCCAATAAGCTCCCGGCGGGCCGTTTAATTACAACGGCCGGCCGGGAAGCGGTGAAACCAGCATGAGCTGCTACTCGTCTGGCTCTGGCATCCTTATCACAGACGAGAGGACAAGTTCATTTTCAAGCCCTGCACATATGCATGTATCTCAAGATGGGACCAATCCCGTTGTATCATGACACCACCTTGTTATATGTATTCAAAAGGGTGATTCACAGTATGTCACACATCCTGAATGGCTGGCATTCCCTGTTCCCCAGTGTGCATCCAATATTTCAAGGTGCTATATGATAACACACTTCACAAAATAAATCTGTTTGGTAATGCATTGTATTCAACATGCATCTATAGAAGCTCATTGTTCCAAATATAGAGGATATGTATTGTATGATTCTCACCCAGGTCCAGTTTTTAGTGGACACTGGATTGTTCAGAGGTGAAACCTCATTTTCTGAAGGCAGTCATCCTTGTATGGCTGATAGATAGTATATTCCATATTGGCTATAAAGATAGTCCATTCCACAGGCAAACAGAAATGGCTCCACCGAATATAATAGCCACTTGCCCTAACACGTTCCCCACTACATGAGAGCTTTATCAAAGGTATATGGCCAGATAATAGCATGCACTGTGTGGTAGCATTTTAAGTAGATTTCCTTAGTATACAGCTTCCGATTAGGTTGCAGTGTAAACATTAACAGACAGTCACTAGCATTTATAAAGAGGAGCAAAGTTATGACATCGCCTGCAATAAAACCAAAGCAGGATCCATCTGTCACTAAGCTATTTCTGTGATTTTTGTCATTTTAAATGTAATTTGTTGATTGCCTATTAACAGACAGAGTACTTACTATTAATGAACCATGATTTTACTTTTGCCTACAGGAAGATAGGACACTAGGCACAAAAAGTGGAGTACAGCCCCAGCAGCAATAGCCCTTCCCATTAACCTTCTCAGTTTCGCTTTGTGTGCTTGGGGACGAATGAGGTCTTTTTTCAGCTCTGCTCTTTTTAAGACTTTTTTTTGTAGGAATTTTCTAAAGCATCCAGTAGATTTAGGCTGGATGTTAAATCTGGGAAGTCTTTCCAGTCACCTCAGGTTATTCCAAATGACTGGATGATCTCATTGCAACATCTTTGCAGTGGTAGCCCTGCAATGGCAAGACTGGATGTACCTTCTGGTAAGCACTAGAAGCTGTCTAATGTGTCTGGCCAGAGATTCATTGTCCATGGATTCACTGCAGGGCTTTTCTGAAGTCCAGACTGTCAGGAATCTCCCTTCTGTTATTATTCACTGGGGCTAGTGTGGTGCTTGGTGTCACTGGGGCCAGTATTGCTGCATCTTCAAATTCAGCCGGCATTTTTTTGGTAGATTTTTTTTATTTCTGCCCCTTTCCTTCCCCTAAGGGCTCTGAGCAACATCTCCTCTCTGCCCCTGTGTTTGCCCAGCACCCTGTTTCTTTACTCACAATGTAGGTGCCGACATACCCCTTGCACAATCCCCATTTACTGGGTGTTCTGTCTGCAACATAAAATTTGGTTGTGACAGGGAAAGCTAATTTTGTGACAACTGCTTGCCTGCATTGGAGCTTCCTGTTGGTGAAGCCTTCTGGGTTGTCTGCTACCAATAACCTTACTGTGAAAGCTTTTTTTCCCCTGCAATAAAAAGGTTTATTTGTCAACTTTCACAGCTTGTGACACAGTGTGACCGCAGGTACTGCAAGCAGCCTTTTTCCTTTTGCCTGATGGAGTCAGACTTCTGTTGGCGTGTTCATCCTCTCTCTCAAACATTTATCTGCCCTTTATCCCTTTGTGTAGGACTTTCTGACAATGTGGTCTACCCCACCTGCACTGAAACCATTTTGGTGGAAGATGCCCCCTCCTTAAAGGACAACTGTTTCTTCAGTACATGTTTTCCGTTAAAGCTTCCTCCCATCCCCTTAATTGCATCATAGGCAGCCTACACGGCCCATTATTTATTTTATCCCTGTTTTAGCAGTTTTCACTGTGGCCCTCGGTCCCCTTTTTACTGCACATACACTTTGCAGCCCCATTCATTCCGATGGGTAGCCATACTCAGTAGTCACACCCACACCAGCACCATGAATTGCATCCCTAGCAATTCAGCAGTTTGTAATTCACAGCAGACCCCAACCCCTACTTTTCAATTATTTACCCTGAGCAACACCTTCCTTTACATTTTTAACTCCTCTGATCCCCTTCTGCATCTGTACAGATTGCTGCTGAGAGAAGGGACGCTGTATCACTCACTTGTGTGTCAGGAGCAGCAATTATAATGCCCAACAGTAACCCCCAGTAAGTGTCAGGGCAAGCAATACCCCCAGCAGGTATCAGGTCAATCACCCCCTTGCCACCAATATTTACAGTACTTAAGTTGCATTGAAACTCATAGCACACATGTCACAAGCAGCCAGATGCAGTCATTGTATAGCCACAAGGCCATATGTAAACTGCACAGAAAAATACCATGATATAAAGCCTAGGCTAAACGAGCTAGTGTGTCTACCCTTTGCAGGTTACCAACTTTTTGGAGCATTGCAGGATAATATAATTAAAACTTTATAGAGATATGATTACACATCTTTCTAAGACCCGCAAAAGCAGGAGTCAGCAAGTTAATAGTGTTCCTTCCTTTCCTGCTACCAAACAATCCTTGATGTACCCCATGGTCTTCCATGGACTCTGAGCCACTCACTTCTTCCGCAATGACCAAGAGGCCTTGACAGACTAAGAACACTAGTAGGGTTAATCATAAAGCTAGCCTAAAAATCAGCCGTAGAACCGAAGGGCTGCTGTACGGGCTTTTCACTATAGCCCGTACAGCTCCCAAAGGCAGCCGAGCCGAAGACATATGCTTCAGCTCGACTGAGATGAAGTGACACCCGAAGCGGCCGAATGGTCGGCTGAAAGCCCCGCAACTGACAGCTGGGTGGAGCCAGCCGTGGTCCCATGGCTGACTCCGCCCAGTTGCAATAACAGATCAGCATCCCTAGGTTACCTGGGGACCCAGAACTGTCCTTAAATAATGACAACTGGGCGGAGCTGGCCGTGACGCCAAGTTATTATTCATCACTCTAGCAGGTCCCGGCCAATAGGAAACAGTTGGGCGGAGATAGCTGTCACTGCTAGCTCCACATAGTTGTTTGTTCTATTTTTAAAGAAATCTTAATTTTTTTTACATTTACCATTTATTGAAAAAAAAATGTACTTGTTTTTTTCTACTTTTTCCACTGATTTTCTATTCTGCTCGTTACCACGGAGGTACAGAGCAGAATAGCCAAGCCTGCCGTTTTGGCCCCTATGAGAATAAGCCAAACAGCAGCGATTAGCCTGCTGGAGGGTTGGCTCAGCTGATCCAGATGTTTGATCGTCTGAGTCGAACATGTTCTTCACTTGGCTCAGTCGAACATGCTGAGCATGTTGGCTGAACCGAAGCCAGCCGATGTACGGCTGAAATCAGCTGTACAAGCCCGAAGTGAATAGCCAAACAGTGTTCGGCTCACTTAGGGTGGTTTACTCGGCTGCCTTCGTCAGCTTTGTGAATAACCCTCTAAATCTGCTAACATACCCTAATCAGCATTAAGGTTTGTCCCTACTTATGAACTAAAAAGTGGGGTACATCTGTCTGCTTTCTGGAAAATTTAGAGGCCGCTTGTGTTCTTTGGGGAAGTAGCCTCCTTTTGGGTACCAAGTAAATTTCAGCTCCTTTTCCCCTACACATTTTGTTATATCAAGGCTCCCTGTCTCCCTTCAACATTCTCACAGGCAATTTGGGGACTTTTTATATCTCAGAGAATATTCATGCCAGTGCCCCTTCCGAACGATTCTAGGGGTTTATGGCAATCTTCACAGTTTCCAAACAGAAAGGGCGTATTTGATTCATTTTTGACGCAAAGGCACTTATTCCCCTTAGTTATCTCCAATAGTATCAAATGGAATTTATTCCGATCCTGTTGTCGGTTTGTCTGAGCTTCACTGTCTTATCTGATGTAAAGAAGTATAACTGTCAGTTCTAACTATCATTTTGTTGTGAGTGTCTGAATGTTTCTTTTATAAATAAGCTACGTTTAATTGCTTTGTTTACTCATTTACAGGCTATAATATTCGCCGTGGTTCAACGAATAACTTGTCACCAGTGAACACCATTTTGTCAGCTGGAACAGCAAATGTAATTTCGTATACATCCAGACCTTACTCCTGCTCCAACTTCTCTGGGTCACCTCCCTTGTCTCTGGCTAAAGGAAGTCACATGGAGCAAAGACTTTATTTCTAACCAGTCTTCCTATTTCTACAAAAATATGTAGTACTTCAAAAAGAATTTATTGTTTTATAGATTTTGCATGTTATAGATATATAAGCTACAGTCAGAAGTTTCTTTGCATTTCCTTGAATTTTATTGTAAATAAGTTGGCTCTTCCATATTGTCTCCTGTTAATGGAAACTGATATTGTGGAAGAACAGAGACTGCCATTAATGACATCTGAAAACACCTGGCTGAAATCACTGACTTGGAAAACAAAAATACAAACCAGGAGTTATGACTTTCCTGATTTGCATACTTGTTCCATGTCAGCGTCTCAAAGAATTGAAGGCAGAGATCATTAACAAACTAGCTTTTACAAAAGTAGGTCAGCAATGGTAGCCTTCATGTTTACTCAATACATGGATTCCTTTAATAAGCTGTGCGTTATCTATACACACCGCTGGTGGAGTGATTGTTAAAAAACACAAGTTAACAGGAATGCCTGCCATAGCAATAATAATAACATAGATAGTAATATTATAAGACATGTCATGCATAGTAGTAATATAAGGTAGGTTGAAACTGCATAGTTATTGTAGGCTGAAGTGCCACTTTTACTATTTTTTTTAATTCTTTTTACAAAACCAACATATTGCGTTTGTGGAAACTGAACCATTGGAAGGCAATGAGTTCTTAAAATGTGAAGGAAAAACATAGACCTAATTTTTCCAAGTGTCTGCAAACATCCAAAGTCAATAAGTGGTATTCGTTTTTCAGTGGATGTTTTTTAGTCCGCTGGTATTAAAGGCAAAGTATGACTGATTTATTCAGTGATGTTACTCTAGTGAACAATGTCATCAGTTATTATTAGTTACATAGTAGAGTATTATTGTTCATTTACTAAAAGGTTTAAAGTTTCATACATTTCAGGAATTAAACCTTAAAAATGCATTCAAGTACCTGAACTATTGATAAAAATGTATCTTATTTGCGTATCACTCGGCTGTAGATCCTGAATTGGTGCCGACACTGTCCTTCCTTCTGGAGGGGGGCTACTTTTGTTCCCCGTGGTCCCTGTGTGTGTTAGTCATTGCTCCAAGTTCACTCCTGTGATGGACTACAATCTCAATACAAATTAATTAAACATGAGATTGTAGTCCATCAGGAGTGCGAGCTTGGAGTGGTGATTACTTTACAACAAACACAGGGACCATGGGGAACAAAAGTAGCCACCCTCCAGAAGGAAGGACAGTGTCGGCACCAATTCAGAGATGATTGGAGCATCTGCAGCCGAGTGATACACAGATAAGATACATTTTTGTAAATTGTTATTGTACTTGAATGTATTTTGAATATTTAATTCCAGAGTTTAGTGTCACTTTAAAGTTAATTTGTTGAGTTTTAGGATGTCAGTAGTTAATCATTCCTGCCAGCCTCATATATATTTGCAACAGTAAGAAGGTGGGCTTTAACGTCCGTCCACCGCATACTGGACATGTGTCCACTGTTTTGTGCTGAGAGCTGTGACCAAGCTGTCGCCAACAGATCCCGGTTACTATGTACAATCACAACAATCACATGATTGTGATCGGGAGCCCTTCCACGACTCATGTGATTGTTGCGGTTAGCAGTCCCAGGGTTCAAAAGATTGAGAGTGCATCCCTGCCTCTTGTCATGGAGTTACTTTTAAAAGGCTGGTGGCAATGGGTCAAAATAGTTTATAATACTAGATCAAATAGCTTCTTTTTTTTTTTTACTTTTAAGTGATGCTTGACCTAGTTCATTCCTCCCCAAAGCAACCTGCATTGTATTCACTATATTGTATGTTATGTAAGCATGCAAGCTGCAGTGTTTTACTAATATTAATTTAGTCTATTGGGTCATGTTAGAGAAGTTCTATGCTTTAGATCTTTCCTGGTAGCAACACGGTTTTTGCGAGCTGACAACTATCCAAGAAACATAAGATGCTGTTCTGAAACATGCCATTTTTGAGTCAGTTAAAAAAGTAGTGTGCTGTATGACAAAGCAATCTTGATAAGCAAACTTTATTGTCTTAAGTAATCAACCTGTGGAATTGGTAGTTCTTAGTTGGTTTCTGTTGTAGGAACAATCTTTTCACAGTTTTTGGTTTTTTTCATTGTAGGGTAATTGAAAAATCATGCACAATATGCATGTGGTTGTAGTCGGGGCACAGCATTTCTGTCCCTGGAAGCATTGTTTGTGTAATATCTGGGAAGGGGCATTTACTTATTTACAATGTGTACATGTATCTTTTTTATTTTAGCAGAAAAGTTGTAGCTTGCTTAAAACGATCCTTTGTGCAAAATTGTACAAGTCTGACAGGTGCTGATATATGACTATGGCTAGCCCAAATCCATTTATTCAGGTACAATTTATTGTTGGTGTGTTGCAATGGGTGAAATGTGAGCCCGGCTTTCTCTTGGATTTTTCAATATAGAGGAGGTAGGTTGTGGATTTGGGCTCTCTGTATTGTTAGGCAAGCAGGGATCCACTTTACCATTTAGATAAAAAGAAATTGCCATAAACAGAAAAGATCACTGATAAGTTATTTTCCCCAATGTATACTTTTCTTATATACAGTAGAGAGTATTTTATCATATAAATGGGGGCGATGCTATCTGACACAATACACAGTGGAAACTGATATTTCAAGTTTTAGTAGATTCTGGTGTGTTAAACCACCTGACAACTTTTGAGGACGCCATTGGTGAGATTTGGGTTGCTGGACCTGTGCATTGTGAGGGAGTTTCACCCTTCATGTAAAACTCACAACTGGACAGGAACAAGTCAGTCAGAAATGATGGTTTTGAGATCTCCCTATTGGTGTATTCAGTATATAAGAAGCCAGGGACTGACTTAGCTCATCAGGTTTCACTTAACATATCCCTTTAGAGTAAACTCACCCTTTACCTTTAAATCTGGTTTGTTGTTTAGACAGCTCTTCCCTCCGACAGTCTGATGAACCAGGTTCCATATAATTTCATTATTGACCAACTAAATACACTGAAAACCTCCAGTCAAATGAAATTCAATAGGACCTGTATTTAAAGTTTCATCCAGCAATCATTGATTTATTAGCACTATATACAGCTTACTAATGTTTTATATGCTAAAACTGTTTTCTTTTTCTAATTGAGAAACCAATAGCATTAAGAACACATTTTTGGTAGCGTGCAGAAGAGTTAGAGCAATAGTCAGGTTTTTATTGTTTTCTATGTCCCCTTAAGGGATGTGTTCCTTCCCCTTTTCTCTAGGTGACCCTTTGTGGAACAAGATATGCCAGAGACAAGAAATGAGGGCAGAGAAGTGGAAACATAGACAGTAGTGAATACTAGACAGAGTTTCAAACCTTTCCTCACTCTCTCCAAAACTAGAAAAAAGTTTTAGCTGGAATTAGGGTACAGGCTGCCCATTTGCCTTGGATCCTACAAATCCTATACTTGACATCAATGCATTTATTCACTGCATTGGCTGAAGAAAGACATCTCATTGAATAGGTTAATCTTAAAATCTCTTTAGGGTATGTGAACATTTTTCCCAAGAGGTCATGTCACCCCAATATTTCCCTTTTCTCTGTGCTAAGATGGGGGGGGGCATGGTCCCCCCTGTAGCATTTACTCCTCTTCCTTATCGCTGTAGAGAGAGAGCTGTCTAGCATTAGAGAGCGTGTTTTCTGCCCAGAGCCACCGTCAATCCACACAGCAGAACTGCGTGGAAGGCACAACTGCAAAGCCGACTGCGGGAGATACAGGCACACCGTGCGTAGTCACAGCATCCTGTAACTCCAAATCCACATATACAAACTGACTACACCAGTACAAATCTGTTTTCTTGCTTAGCATTGTCAGATTTAAGGAGGAAGCAAGGGGAGCTGGCATGATCACCAGGGGTTTTACATCATAAGAGGAAATAAAAAAAATAGGCTAGATTTACCAACATTTGAATGAATACACAAAATGATTGGAGCAACATACAATTTACAAATCAGGCCATCTGTTTCTATGGATTAGGTAGCCCTGAAAACAGCAATCTGACCAAAAGCATAAAATAAAATGTAGACAACAAATGAATGTAAATTTGTTTTTTTTTAAAAAGGTAGAATTCTTTTTCATTATCAGATTGCTGGTATAAATTGTATTAGTGAAGAAAGTACAATTTAAATGTAATATTGGTTATTGAAGGGAGTTCTAAATGTGCCTGCATTGTTTTCCTATCACTGTAGTGTCAGGTAATTTACTTCATATTCACTGCAATGTTCGAGGAGCATTTTAGAATTTAAACTGCTTTAAATTATCAACTATCAACTTTGGTATCCAACTAAGTTACAACAGTTGGGCATATAACATTACCACAAATGTACATATACATTATATTTGAAGGACTTTTTAAAGTTCAGTCCTGCTTAAACTACTCTAGGGTCTTGCAAGGTACTCTATGGGGTCGATTTACTAAAAGGAATGAAGACTGCTCACTTTGCACAGTGAATGCTCGTTTATCTTCCCCTACAACTTTGAATACCTAATTAACGTGCAAGGGAAATGTAACCATTTTTGCTTGCATGGATGATTGCATTGATTAAACTTCGCCTTATGCACTAAGCTAAGTGAACATTAGTTTTGTAAAGTGAACAGCCTCAATTCCATTGGGTGATTTAAACCCTGGTATTTCCAGTGCTTGTATACAAGAAGTTTCGTCTGTAGCCACACATATTTTTGCTTGGTTTTTTTTAAGGGCATAATATCTAAATGATAGATTGTGGATGACATTCAACAAACCATAAAGTCTAGGAAAAAATGAGTGCTTGCACATTTTTTCCATGTTTTATCATTTTAAAAATGTTACAAGTACAGAAAAATACCTGCTGGTCCTGCCAGAAATATAGCGAGCTTCTATCTTCCTGTAGTAAACTGCCAGTGCTGCCTCTACTGCACTGATACCCCAAGTAGTTTGTCAGGTTAAAGTAGTACTAAAGGCTGGGCATTTTTTTAACCTTAATTCATTCTCTGCAT